TTTCTTAAAGCTGCAGTTGGTATAATTTATGAAAATAACTGTCATAGTTAAACTCACTATATTCTAAAAGAAGTACATGAGACAAATAATCTGTTAAAAAAATGACGTCCCTCCTCCTCTTTCTACTGCTTCCAATAGCATTTGCTTGAATCTACTGCGGCACATTGAAGACAACCAATCAGAGACAATTACCACCGAGCAGTTCGGTTCAGTTCAGTTAGGAATGCATTTTTTCTGTTCCCACTGTGAAAAGTTGTGGATGGTACCAATGGAACCGTTCTGTACCGTCCCCATTTTTGCCCCCCCCCCTCTGTTGGGGTACCTAGCACACAGATCTGGTACTAAAAGGTGGAGCTGTGAACACTGCAGTCTGTTGATTGGTCAGTAGAGGACGGTCACTCTGAGGCTCATGTAACCACTGTTCATACCATGGAGAGTTTTAGTTGGTGAAAAAAAGAAACTAAATTCACTGGGCCTTCTGCTGGTCACTTTTAAGGTGGAACGTTAACTTGTAACTAATTGCATGACCTGATGATCTTGTAGTAATGAGTGGATCTTCAAGAGTTTGTATATATTAATTTCGACTGGGTTAACTGGACTGCATATAGTGGGTTAAGGCAACACTAAAACCCTGAGATTGCCTGAAAAGGACTAAATGCACAAACCCGCTATTTTTGAATGTCCTATAGACAGAGACTCTCACTGCAGCCTGTTTTATTTTGCTCTGAAAATTTCGGCATGCAGACAAGGTGCAGACTTCCCTCTGTGTCACGGGTAATGAGGAACTACAGTGAGTGCTGGACGGAACAGTGAGTGACAACAACCCCGCCCACATCAAAGAGTACTGTTTGCGGTTACTTTTGGTTCCAAAGGTACCATACTGAAAGTGTTTGGTTGAAACGGGGCTTTATACAGCTATCAATCATGCTTATGAGCTGTGGTCAAATTGCCAAACTAGGCAGTGCTGATTTCTCGCCTCAAATGTTTTCAGAAACATATTTAAGCGTACTGTTTAGCTTTAAGTTTGTGACCCAGTTGGCATTGTGGACATAGTCGATGGAAGTACCAAGCTCTGCCCTCTGGTCGGACCTGCTTTGTACAACTAAACAGTACACTAATATATGTTTCTGAAAACAATTGGGCGAGAAATAGACTGAATCTTGATTCATGTTTGAGCGCTGCCTAGTTTGACAGTTTGACCCTTGCTTTGCTTGCTTGTTTTCATTCACACACGGAAAGGCCATTGGAATTGCTACAGGGCAATAGAGTAGGGAGAGGAATATGTTGTTTTTTTCCACAGGTTATCTGTCTCATTTAGTGCTGTGTGGATACAGTGACAGTTTCAGCGAATATGACAAAAGTTATTTGTTATAAAAGTTACAATGCTGCAACTTTAAATCACCAAACATAATGAAACAGTGTCAGCAGATAGAACAAAGAATGTCAGATGATGACAGATTTAAATTACAATCCTTTCGTCGCCTTGTCACCCAAACAGATCACACACACAGGAGCGCACACACACAAACACACACACGCTCTCAGCCCGTCCTGAAAACAGACACAACTAGTGACAGATGGTCAGTACAAACTAGAACAAACCAGAGTGTGAGGCCTCTGGGCGCACGCACACACAAACACAGACATGCTGACTGTGAAATCTGAGGTAACCATAGAAACCTGACATTTTAATTTTTAGAATATAAAGCAAGAACTCAAAACAGTAAAACACTAAGGGGGACCTGCAGACTATAAAGGGGAGGTGTGGGTTTCAGACTGAAAAGGTTTCCACCCCAACTTGATAAAATCAGTGATGACTTGTGTCTCAGTGGTTTTAGTTATGGTGCAGGGTTGAACCGCAATGAATCTCATCACTTTGGCAAAACTGAAACACACGTCTTTTCTTTTTGCTAACTTGCACAAATAAGTGTGTCTTTTTTCTATCTATGCAACAGTGCCAACAAAGAAGAGTTTAGTGTGCGATCTTGAGCCTGGCAGAGGAAGCTCAGCTGAGAAATATAACACCAGAGATAATGAGATAAGATAAGATAAGATAAGATAAGATAAGATTTATTAATCCCACACCAGGAAAATTCCCACATTACAGCAGCTCAAGAGGAAGCAAGAGGAAAGGGAAAAAGGTAACTAAGCGCTAAAAAGAAAATAATATAACATCTTTATACACTAGATATGTATTTTTTTTGATTTTGCTTTATTGATCAACTACAAAGCCATAGAATCGTAATGTGGGGTACATTTTTTCTTTTTTCCAACATCGATTCAAAATCTGGCTTCTTATTTACTTTGTGTACAACTCTGCTTCTGACTGCTTCTGACTGGTTTACAGACATAAGTGGTGAAATCAACTTCACAGGTCAGAGTACTTTTCAACAGCCTCATGACTTGGAAAAACTCTGGAGGCTGAAAAGAATTTCGGAAGCTCAGAGACAGAGTAGGCAGTTCTGTGAATCGCTGATTGTAATTTGATGGCAGTAGTCAATGATTTGGTCAGACCTTTGCAACAGGAGAGGAAAAAGGAAATCAAAGACGAAGCCGACTGATTAAAAAAAAAAATCTATGTAGTGAAAGTGACAAAAACAGAAAACAAGACCAAATACAAAACCAGACAGAGCTACTGACCACATCAGGACCAGACCAGAGGCTGCTGAGAGTCTCCACATGGCTATGGGTCAGAGGGAGGGATCTTTGGGGTCTGAATAACCCTGGGCAAAGATGTCTGATGTTAAAAGACCCCCTATGATCCCAGGCCACATAAATTCAATTCAATTCAATTCAATTTTATTTATAAAGCCCAATATCACAAATCACAATTTGCCTCACAGGGCTTTACAGCATACGACATCCCTCTGTCCTTAAGACCCTCACAGCGGATAAGGAAAAACTCCCCCAAAAACCCTTTAACAAAGAAAAAAACGGTAGAAACCTCAGGAAGAGCAACTGAGGAGGGATCCCTCTTCCAGGACGGACAGACGTGCAATAGATGTCGTACAGAACAGATCAGCATAATAAATTAACAGTAATCCGCATGACACAATGAGACAGAGAGAGAGAGAGAGAGAGAGAGAGAGAGAGAGAGAGAGAGGGAATGACAGTAGCTTACAACAACATTAATGAAAGTAATAATATTATAGTTATAGTTCTGGCTACTGTGGTACAATATGTTGAAAGTATGTATTAATATCTGACAGTATACTTGTGTGACAATAGTCATATGTGTATAATAACAGTATAAGTATGACTAATGACTAATGATGGCAGCAGCAGCAGGAGGCATCTGGCAGGACCACGGCAGCAGCACAACCACACACGTCACACTGTCCAGGCACCGCTGCGGAATGAGTTATTCTGAGAGACAGTGGAGCACAAAGGCTCCGGAGAAGAAGCCGAGTTAGTGACATCCAGAATGGCCGAGTTAGCAAGATGCAGTAATAGGATGAGAGTGAGAGAGAGAGAGAGAGAGAGAGAGAGAGAGAGAGAGAGAGAGGGAGAGAGAGGGAGCCCGGTGTATTATAGGGAGTCCTCCGGCAGACTAGGCCTAAGTCAGCCTAACTAGGGGCTGGTACAGGGCAAGTCTGAGCCAGCCCTAACTATAAGCTTTATCAAAGAGACATCACATTTGTGTATCATAGTGCACCATAATCTCAGAATCATTTGGGCCTTTTTGTCACGTTCACTGTGTGAGTGAATGTCTTTTGTTGTTGGATCAGTCAGACTTCTGCTGGATTCGTTTCATTCACAGTTTGCAGCTTTGTATCATTTCCCAGTTGTGAGCCTTTAAACTTTTACACTTTATATATTTTTGAGAGAGAGTGTGCAGATGTTTCTGTGATTACAGGGCTAACTGCCTGTTCGGTGAACAGTTGTATCAACCTCTTGTCAATAACTAGTAGGACGAAAATGAATTAATAGATTCCTTTTTAGTGATCTATTCACCCACACTGTCTCTACAGGGTGTTAATGAGGAGCTGGTGTGTAAAAACCACCTGATCCTGGGTCAGCACCTCTACAAGGATCTGGAGGGACAAGACTTCAACCTGCACAGCGGAGCCAGGTTCAGGAGCAAAGGCAACAAGGTACCAACTTCCTCTCCAAACTCCACAACCCTGTTACCAACCACTACAGCCCCTTTTCCACTGGGAAAATTCCACTAACACCCATTGACATCTGGCTTTTGTATTTGATGGGAAAGGCTACAATTTGCGTTCATTCCCAGGACAGAAGAATCTGAAGTAGTCACAGGTATTTATTGGCTTCAGCTCTGATCAGCAGTGATGGAAATACACCGCCTGGGTTGAAGCACTAATTTTAGCCACCTTGCCCGAGCAATGGAATGATGGGCCGCCACAAAATACAGTCAAACATTTTTCAAAATTTAGTCTGCACAGAGTTTGAAAGAGAGACTTCATAAGTAAGAGATGTAAAAAATAAGTAACCATTGTGTCATTTCCACTGACCTCCAGGCTGCTTTCTATTGTTTACTAACCTGTTTTCTGTCCCGCCGATGACATTAAATGTGACAAAATGGTAAGACATGCTTCTCTTGTCTAGTGTCAATGGGAAAGCAGTCTGTTGACTATTTTTTTTTTTTTTTTTTTTTTTTACAGGTTTTTGGCGTTTAAAAATCTGCATACATGCTACAATTTTGGGAATATTTGAACTTGGTGTTAATGACTTAAAAAGATGTTGCATGCCAGTTTGTTCTCTCTTGCACTCACACATGTAAGGTTAAGATTTATTTTTCAGAAGGCAGTGTTACGTTCTGATGTATTGCTGAGCCTCAAAACTTGAGGCAAAGCTTCATTTGTTTGACATAGTTTTTAAAATGTTAAAACAGTAGTAGCAGTAGAGTTAAAAAAGTCACAGCAGCCAAACTGTAGATGGAACAAATTTTGATGATGGGAAAAGTGCTCATGAGGTATAAATGTTCAAAATGTCTAGATAGTTGAAGATGATCACAAGGACATAGCCCAAGTCTGTGTAAACTTTCCACGTAATTTTTATTGGTTCCACAATCAGAATAATCTCAATAAAAACACAAGTTATTGATTTGGTGTCTGCTACAGACATTAATTAGTCAATTTCATTTAATTCATTTTGTTGACATTCACACCGGTAACATAGCGTAACACAGATACTGAAGTCATACCACCCTTCTGCCTGTTCTGTAAAATTCATCTCATTAACTGATATTCCAGTGATCTCACAAAAGGCATTACATCACACAAAGAAAGTAAATATCCAGTGTCATGGTATCTTACATCATCACAGCTTCATCACTGTCATTACTGCCAAACATATTATGAAAATCAATGTTTTCAAAATCAACATTATCAACAATTTGATTATAATACATCCACCACCACTGTACACTTAATAACACCTCCATCAGTCTCGTCATCATGCTAAAATCTTCGTCATCATCAGGATCAGCTCTGTAGAGTCCCAGTAGTATTACTTGCTTATGAGTGATGTTGCTTCATCAATGCATTCAATAAGTTTAGCTTATTTTGTTAATCATAAAGAAGAATTTCATTGAAAATGGCTCATAAAGGATTGAGGTATGCTGGATCGGCAAATGTTCTGTTTTTTTGGGGGGGTTGTGTGTGTGTGTGTGTGTGTGTGTGTCTGTGATCATTCTGTATCCCCTCTCTGACTTCACAGATTTTTGTGGGTCCCTGAATGCAGCATAGGCAGAAGTCTTCATGAGTTTACTTTTTCCTCAGCAGCAGTTTTGTTGAATTTGAGCTGCAGGGTGAAGAGTTAAGAAACAAACTTTTTGATCATCACACAAGATTTCCTCTCAATCAATTTGTTGTCGGATCGCTCAGAGTTGATCAGATTGAGTAGTTGGATTTGAGGAGCAACTGCTGCAGAGGCGAGTGACTGCAATCCCATACTGGTTATACCCAGCGCTGGATCAAGGGGTGTACGGTTTCTATTGGAACACAGGTTTAGTCTTAAGTTGTTTTGAAAAACGATAGACAACACTAAACTATACAATATGAATTAACGAACAGTGAAGTTTCAGTTTCACTGCCCTTGGAGCTCTGCTGCTCCATCTGTGCCCAGAATAAGCTTTGCCATGAGAAAATGAAAGAGAGAAATGCAGCTCCAAAAAAATCTAAAATGTGGCAGCAAATGCAGATGTAGTAGTGTTGCACCACCAATTGATTAATGCGTGGGAAAGCCTGAACACAGCTTAAACATTTCTGAAATCAAATGTTTGCAGGTTTAAGGCATTAACAAATGTGCCTGCAATGCCGCTTTCTAACTGGTAACAAATGTGTTAGCTGTCTTGCACACAGTGATAAGCCCTGTAGTTGGTATGTTGTTAAGCCTGATTTTAAAATGTACGTCAAGGGGCAGCAGCTACAGAGATACCATGAGATGACACAAAGTGATATTTGTCAGCTTGGCCTGCTTGTGTTTTCTCCTACAAGTTTCTGATGCTGGTGATTATTTCAAGTGAAAACAATGTTAAGGGAGTTGAGGAAAGACTTGTTTTAGAAATGCACATTTAACATCTTCAATGCAAATATTCTGCAGTGACTCACCATTTGTATACCACAACGTGTACATGTTTGATCATGTCTCGCAAAGGACCTCCCAGTCTTTATAGAAAGAAAAAAAAATCCACATTACTACTCAAAGTCATAGCACACCATTCTTTATATATCCTGCCATCCTTGTACTTTTTTTTACCATCGTAATATGCGAGGAAGAAGCCAATATAATAACTTGCATAAATAAAAGCAGAGTACTTCTTCACATTGATGCAATAAACCTGTAAATCCAACATTGCCCTAAACAGCCTGCACCCAGTGTTGCTCAAGTGGCCCAATAAAACCAGACATATTAATAAGATACCTTGGTGAACAGTCAACAGAAATGACTGCTGACAAATGTAAAGTCACGGTACATATTGTCTTACTGCCCAACCCTATCATAGAAATCTTTAACTGCGCTTTTCCACCGTCACAGAGACCGTCACTGGTAAAATCTTCAGTGGGAGGTGGTTCTCAGTGTAAATGTACGGAAACAGGGTGTCAGTGAAGGTGTGTGTGAAGGTGTGTATGTGTGTGTTAGTATCAAGATCAGAGAATGACAGTTTTCCTATCTCAAAGTCCAGATAAACTCTGACCCTCTGGAGCTTCTTTTTCAGTGGCAGATCTTTTTCTTGATCTAGTGAGGAGAACACTGTGAGTTTTCCATCAGAGAACAAAATTCTCCACAATCCAGACTGTAGGCGTCCCTTCATCTGGATGTATTCTGCCAACATGCCCAGTTCCCAGTCCTTGTTGTCCCCAACCTCAACGTCCCAACTGTGAGTCCCAGAGTTAAATCCTTCAGAGCCGAGGATGGAACAGGTGAATTTGGTCCTTTCCGGGTTTTTTGGAAGCTGTCGTCGCTCTCCAGATCTCACATTGGTCAGATCTTCAGAGACGAAAAGTTCTGGGTCCGCTGTGTTTGGATCCAGAATCACAGGAGTGTAAGAGACCATCTTCTTCATCTTGTTCCAGATGATGAAGGTCAGGTTGCCCAGATGTTTGGCCTCATCTATCAGAGCTCCTGAGGGCAGCTGTGGATCATCCAGCAGGGGGCACTGCTGGACTCTGTCCACTGCAGCCTTGTAGTTCTGCAGGAATGAGACGTCTTCAGCTCTCAGCTCCTCCTCTGTGGCTCTGATTGTGTCTGAAAGAGCGGCTATCTCTGTGTTCAGAGCCTCAATCTTCTCCTTCATCATGTGACTCTTCTGCCCCTCTTCATCCCTCAAAGCAGAGATCCTGGCCTCCTCTTCATCTCGTAGAAACTGGTGAAGTTTCCTAAACTGCTCCTTAATCAGCCTCTCTGTGTGTAGGGCCTGGACCTTAATGTGTTGTGCTGTGTGGTCACAGTTTCCTTTAACTTGTTCAAACAGCTTCAGCTTCTCCTGTAAGGTCTTCAGGGATTTCTGCAGCTCCTCTTTGTGCTCCTGTGCAGCTTCATCGATGGGTCTGAATCTGTGGTTGTTGTGTCTCTTTGAATCTCTGCAGAGGATACACACCAGCTGCTGATGGTCCAGACAGAAGAGTTTGAGTTTCTCAGAGTGCAGACTGCAGAGAGTCTCAGACTCTGCTGAAGCTCCTTGATCTCTCTCCACTAAGAAGGCCTCACACAGGTTCATTAATGCCAGGTTACGAGGTGGATCACTCTTTGAGGATCTTCTCTTACAGCACGGACACTCACATGTTGGTTTCCCCTTCCACCATTTCTGCAGACATTCTTTACAGAAGCTGTGGCTACATGACAGGACAACAGGATTTTTGAAGATGTCATGGCAGATAACACAGGAGAGATCATTCTCTCTTCTGACAGACATTTTGTCTCACAGCAAAGCTTAAAACACAGCAAGCAGAAACAAAAGGCAGTTGGTCAAGAAAGTTACTTTCACTTTGAGTTCTACCTCGCCCAGTTCACTGTCTGGAATCAGCAGCAGGTTGAAATGCAATTTTCAGTATTCCAGTAATTCCAGTGTTGCCAGTATTCCCCCTGCAGCTGCCTCAGTGGATGTGGTAGTTTTGGTGTTAAGACAAATATTATCGTCTGCCTCTCATTGTGTCTCTCCTCTCAGAAACAAGAAATGATAAACGGTTTCCTGTTTGTCTGTGCTGAGTTAGAAAGGGGGTGGAGCTTCATCAAGACTTCTCTCCTGACTGCTCTTGTTTATCATAGCAGGTGCATGTTGCAAACCACTTGACAAAAACGTCATGGTTCTTGTGTGTGTTGTCATAAAAGATATTTGTGACCTTGCCCACCGAGTTATTGCAGGTTAAAGGAGACTTCTGCATAAAATAACTTCCAACTTTCTGCAGTCTGAGTTTGTCTCTGTTTGCATGGTTTATTTAGTTATTTAACCCTATCTGGGTTAAAATCTTTAATCTGAAGATGTTAAAAGCCTCCTCACAGATTCATTTGTAACATCTTAACTTGATGTAGAGCAACAGAAAGAGAAGGAAAAATATCCTGGCTCTTTTTTGGAGCTGTTACTTGCTATCTAAAATATTAATTTCCTCAACCCCAAAGTTGAAAAATTGAATGTTGGGAAATGTGTGAAAAATGTACAAATCTGTTTGACATATTTTGAGTTTAAAGTGGGCATAGACCTGAATTCCTGTCTCCACAATGTTTAAGGAATTAGAAAACTGCAGAAAGTCTCAATAACCAGGTTACTGAAGTGCACATAAACACTCATTATCTCTGTCTGGTTGATGTAGAGGTTCATCCTGATGGAGAACCCCAGCAGACTGTACACTGTCATCCAGGAAGACCTGCCAGCAGCCAATGGGATCATCCACATCATCGACCGGCCAATCACAAACACACTTTCTGAAAGGCCTCTTCGTGATGAACAGGTGAGTTAAAAGGTCACTACAACAGATATGTAAAACTCCCTAAAACCACACACACACACACACACACACACACACACACACACACACACACACACAGGAAATAAACTGCATCTGCACTGAGCTTAACAGAAACAAACATTTGAATAATACAAAAAATGTTTCAACATAAACTGAGTGAACATTTTTTCATCAAAAGAGCTCTGTACGTTTTGTTCTGCTGCTCAGTATTTTGCTTAATACGAAGTGATCTGTCTTAATTCATTAATATGTTATATTTGTGTTCAGTTAAATGTATACTAGGTTATTTCCTGCTAACTGTTAGATGCATAAAAACAATCCAGTCTACACAGCGTCCTGTGAAAGTGAATGTTAATCATCTGATCGTCTTCTTCTCCTTGTGTCCAGTTTGCTGATAAGACTATCGCAGAGATTCTGACTCTGGATGAAAAATACAACCGCTTCCTGTCTCTGGTTGATGTGAGTGCCAAAGTTTTGTTCTAGTTAATAACATCACACAGATGAGAAGACATCAGTCATATTTAAGCCCTGATTCTCATCGCAAGTGACAGTTTGCCTAACCCCTCTCCTGAACAGTGATTGGTCAATCATAGCTTAGCAACAGTAGCTAGGTCTGTCCGTATTTTGGCCTCTCCACATGTTGAAGCAAGGTGCATGATATAATAACAGAGATAGTCCGTATGTAAGAGTTTGGAGGTTTCTGTCTTTTTTCTTTTTTTTTTTTTATCCCTCTAATGCCAGAAACATAATTGTGAAAGTGTAAGGACTGTGTTTATCTGTTCTACTGTAAGATGTAAACAGTAAAATGCCTGGCTCACTAGCTTCTTATCTGCAGAAGTAATGTAGTGTAATTTCTAAGGCCGTTACTCCATTATTTTATAGAGTACATTGTTTTAATTTTCACACTTCAGGAACCTCAGCAAACATTTATCATACATATCATATGTTATACATTAGCTTTAGCCTCTGACTTTTGTGTGATATCATGTAGGGACATGAGGTAGCCATCATGTGTATTTTATTTACCCTTTTACAAGAGTCTTGTTGAAAGCTTTTTTTTTTTTTTTTCAACATAAAAATTCATCCAACATTTTCACCCAACATTGACAATACTAGGGCTGCCCCAGACTAAGAATTTTCCTAGTCAACTAATAGTCGTCATTTAGGGCCTTAGTCGAATAGTTACCTGCATGTTTACAATATTAATTCAATTATCAAATTATATATTTTGGGTGGGGCAACACAATGGTTTGAGTTGAAGGTGTGAGAAAGAATAGTATCAGTAACATTGTTAACACTGTGCTACATTACAGAGAAATACAAAACCGTACTAATGAACCTTCATTAATATAGGCCTATATTTTATCTACAAGTGCACGTCACACACTGAGCGAGCCGCCTGTTAATGGCGCTGTGGGCTAATGGGCATGTAGCTACTTCCATGTTTCAGATGATACGTCATGTTTGCAGTCGACCAATGAAGATGAGTTTACATATCACCTTGGGTTCGTCCTTCACCTTCTCAAAATGATCCCACACTTTGGATTTCCTGCCCGACATGTTATTAACTAGCCTGTGGAATAACCGCAGGTACCAGCCCTGGAAATTAACCTGACTCCTGTCTGACTGCTGAGTGTGGCCACTTCCTGTGTCTGTCCTTTCAAATTAAATTCCCACATGGTCCAGTCATATAGGTATTGATTTATTTTGACAAGGCACAGCTACTAATAGAGTTTCACTTTTGTTTTTTTCTGCAACTAAGCGACCAATGAAATCTTGCTGACTAATGATTTTTCCGGTCGACTAATGTTTGGTCGACTATTAGGGGGGAGCCCTAAACAATACAACTAGCTAGCTACTGTACAGCTGATAAAATCTGCCAGTGACCATTTCAGCATTTCAGCAAACCTGGTGGCAGAAATAAGAAACTGCTTTGTTAACTTCTATCTGGAAATAAAGGACTCATTGTTTCAAAAATTAATAAGAAATTTGAAGGTGGAATTTGTCATCATTATAAACTGCATACTTGTATGTATGTGTGTTTGTGTATATACACTGTATGTGTGTGGGAGAATGCAAAGAGTCGTACCAGAAGTGACTGAGGGATGTTAAATGTCAGATAAGTTTGAACCAGTGCTAAATGGGAATCAATGCTAAATCATCAGCTCTGATCAGATACGATGTGCTTGTGTGTTTGCAGAACTGTGGGTCACCTCCTCCACTGCGAGGACCGGGACCCCTGACTGTGTTCATCCCCACCAACCAGGCCGTGGACAAAGCCAGAGATGGCAGCATCTTGTACATGCTGCACGACGTAGGTTCTAATTAATACTTGAGTTGTCATTTGATTTGTGTATTTGTTTTTAGTGCACATAACATATAATAAAAACAGTTGTCACAGTTGTGACATTCTGCATTTTTTTGTAATCAAAAAATCCCATGAAAAGACAAAAACCAGTAATGACTTCCTGCCAGTGTTTGTGGCACTCAGCCCCAAAATCATGGGTTCCTATAAAAAATGTACGTCTTATAAATGTCTGACCAATATATATATATATATATATATATATATATATATATATATACAGTACAA